CCGGTAAGTGCGCGGTCCGTCGGCTTCCCTCTTTTTTTTTTTTTTTTTTTTTTTTTTTTTTTTTTGGATGGCCGAAGGGTTACTGTCCCTTCGTCCATGTGCGGTATTTTGTCCGCTACGCTTTTCGCGTGTGTTAGTGCGAGGGAGTAAATACGCCCTCGGCTTGGTCAGTGGCATCCTTTTTTGCCTTTCCACGTCTATCGGCGACGAGGGACCGGACTAGGCATCGTCTTTTGACGGCCGCCCTTTGTGGTCCTGAGCGAAATTTTACTGACGGGTGGAGTTTTTTGTAACCTCAGCCTTAATTCAGGCCTGTCGTCCTGCGGTTTCCGCGCGGACGACGCGGTATGCTTCTCCGTTTGAAGACGTTGGACCATGCACACAAGTCCTTCGTCCTGCATATCGCCGGCCGATTTGGGTGTTTCACCGCTTGTGCCGATACGATATTTAGGTGCGTTGTTTATTGCAACGGCTTTGTAGGCGCGTTGTGGATCGCAACGGCCTTAGGTGCGTTGTGTATTGCAACGGCTTTGGGTGCGTCGTTTATTGCGACGGCTTTAGGTGCGTTGTTTATTGCAACGGCTTTGAGTGCGTTGTTTATTGCAACGGCTTTGGGTGCGTCGTTTATTGCGACGGCTTTAGGTGCGTTGTTTATTGCAACGGCTTTTGGATGACGCAATTAGCGTATAGGGGAATGAGGTGTACCGCTTCTAGGCATAATGCCGTGTACGGCCGATGATGGCTCTCATTCTAGATGCCCGGGTCGTCAAATAAAGATGACCAAGGTAGGTCGAGGGACCCAAATATAATCCGGATCATCAAATAAAGATGTTCGGAAGGTTAAGGCTTTGGCCCGCACCAATTGGAGATTTTAATCCGCTAGCAACGGTGATAATAATAATAGTAGTAATTATTATTATTATTTTTGTTTTTCTTTTGAATAGTTAGTAAAACTATTTTGTCTTAATAGTAGTAAAACTATTTTTTCCGGAATAGTAGTAAAGCTATACTTTTTTTTTTTTGAATAGTGGTAAAACTATTTTGCTCCATATTTAATGCATAAAATAGGAGGAAAAGTTTGTGAGACTTACTTGTATTTGGGCCGAAGCCTGCCCTGCTTAGTATTAAAGCAGGGAAATACAAGATTGGGCCTGCTCTGTATCCAGCCTTGAAATTAATAGCCGGTCCATGTTCCTTTTAGCCCACTATCTTAGTTGAGATGCCAGCAAGGATAAAATGGTTCCACTCGTTAGTTTCACCCGCAGGGAGCAATCGGGCCGAAGCAGTGCCTTGAGCTAGCCGTCGCGGTGCCAAGGTGGAGGGCTGTGTCCAGGGGCGCGAGAGCCAGGTGGTTCACTCTCTTAGCCGCCCCTGATAATCGTGGGCGACGAGGGGGGCGAGGGTCCCACTCTGACCGAGGGTTCGCGATTGGGTGCCGGGGAGGGGCCAGAGACGACGGTGGAGGAGGGTCCTGACCTGGCCGACGTGATTCCAATCCTCTGGCCGACGGTGTACTCTTTTTCCGAAGTGATTCTTGTAGTTTGGCGGCCGACGAACAGCTGGCCGACGCACTGCTGGCCGACGCGCTGCTGCCCGATGATTTGTTGTTGGCCGATGTGTTGCTAGCCGATGGACTGCCACTTCACAGGATAGAGACGAGTGTGGTGTCTGACCGAAGGGTCACACTGCCCCAGGAAGGACGAGGCGAACAGGTTGGGACCTTTGACCAAGATGGTGGTGGCCGTAACCTGCCATGTTCCTTTTCCTTTAGTTCTTTGTTTGAGTTTGACCAAGATGGGCACTGGCAGAGGTGCCGCACTGGCCGAAGGGGTGTAACGAGGCTTGACATTGACTGGGAATCTGGGCGAGGCTTGATGTTATTGCTTTTTGTTTGGGCTTGACTGAGAGGCCCTCGTGGCCGAGGAATTACTGGCCGAAGCATTGCCGGCCGAAGTGTACTGTATGTTTGCTTATCTTGGCCGATATGATCTGGCCGATGTGGTCTCATCCGTTGTGTGCCGGTGGCCGAAATTGTGCCGGCCGATGGTGTTGCCGGCCGAAGATGTTTCCGGCCGAAGGTGCTGCCGGCCGAAGCGTGCTGTCCGGCCGAGGTGACTCTTATTTTCCGCTGGGGTGAGAGGCCGATGCGATGTCCCTCTTTTTGGCCGGTGCGGTGCGCGGCTGATGCGGTGTTCCGATGCGGCGTTCCTTTTTTTGGCCGATGCGGTGCGCGGCTGATGCGGTGCAGGCTGTTGTGTGCCGGGCGTTGGGTGCCGGTGGCAGATAACGTCGGTGGCTGACGCAATTGGCCGAAGCGCGCAGTTGTCGGCCGCTGGGTTGTCTTCTGGACGAGGGGCTGCCACCTGCTTTCTCCCTCTTTGATTGAGTTTGGCCGAGGTGGAGACTCCCCGCAGAGGTGCCGCACTGGCCGAGGGGCACACTTGAGGCTTGCCGAAGGTCCCACCATCTATGTGTTTGACTTTTTCCTTTTGTTTTAGTTGCCCTTGGACGCTGGTTGCCCATGGGAGTGTACACGAAATACAAGAGATTACATGTTGCTCCAGTGGGGCCGAAGCGATACCACTGCACGTGATTATTTACGTGTTGTGATATTGGTTGGGAGGGTCTCACTTGATATATTCTAACTCTCAATGAAAGCACCAAATGATAGAGTATTAATTCTAGAGAGAAGGGAGAGCTAGAGAGATAAAGTGATGTGTATAAATGAATCCCAAACAACCATTCAACCCCCCTTTTACATGGCTCCCATAGGGAGTATTTATAGGAGAAAAGAGGGTTGGGCTTCCAGGCTTGGGCCTAGAAGGCCCAACTACAATAAAAGGCCAATAAATGGCTAATAAACGATATCTAATCTATTCTAATGGATATACATGAATAAAATAGAGTGTACAATGAGATAAATGCTATCCACTGAGCGTATGTGGGCTGCTGTCCGGGCCCAATAGTCGTGAGGCCCGGGGGTCCGAGTCTATATACTCTATCAATTATAATAGGCTAAAAGTGAATATATATATATATATATATATATATATATATATATGATGCACCGTTTGGTCTAGCTCCTCATCATATTATACTTATCTATCTTCAAATATAGATAGATTTAGCACGCTATTCAAATCCGGTAACCCTAATTTACATGTATCTATTTGTGACTTATAAGAGGTTGACACCTTAGTTGGGAATGTATTAGGAGTTGATATAATCTATAAGTATAATTGATAGGAATTCAAATGTTTGGGGTATTTTGCTTAGTCTGGATAGAATATTTAGATAGAGCACTGAAAATTTTGATCTGAACTCGAGTTAGACGCACAGGGAAAGGATGTGCAATCAAATATATTTTAAATTGGTTATATCTTATAAATATTAATGAAACCCTATGAATATACACTTAAAGTAATATATGAGTGTTTTTAGATCACTTTGGGAGAAGTCGTTGAAAACGTAAAATACCATAAATTGTCTAGATATATACCAGAAAAATGGCCTAATAAATGAAATCCAATACTTACTAATGTTTTTTTTTTCTTTTTTTTTTTCTTTTTTTATTTTTTATTTTTTTATTTTTTACATTCCTAAATGATGGCAATACTTACTAATGTTTTCACATAAATGATATCGTAAATCGTTGGTCACGTAAACAAACTATTAATATTTAGATTGAGTATAAGATAATATTTATGTTACCCTAGATACAAAATTGTCTTTCCAAACGCAAATATTATATCTATAATCAATATATACTTGCACTTTTAGCACTATTAGTAATTTCGATAATTTCAATATTTGGGTCAGCTTTATGATAATACCGTGAAATCTGCTTACCAATTAGGGTATCAGTGCTGAATAATACGTGAAATACTTTTGATGGAGCACTAATAGTATCTTCGATGAGACCTCTAAACTATCAAAATGAGTATATTAAATTATATAAGGCAAAACGTACACGGTATTAAACAGCTACATAAGTTCAGAAATTCATACCTAACTGTTAAGCTTTTGATCTCAAAATTGTCACAAATACTTAGCCTAAAAGGTAGTACATACATCATCTTATTTAATTGATATTTACTTAACGCCGTTCTAAACATGTTCTTCCATTTAAAACGGGAATCGTTCGGATTAGCGTCACAATGTGAGCTCGATAAGATTTATGTTTTGGTATTTATGGTCCTTAGATATTGCTGTTGATATATTAGTATCATAGTGGTATTTACTCATGCTTGTAAATAATATGATATGCACCTTAATAAATAAGTTGAAACCTGTGATTTATACGGACCAGTTAATATGGCATAATTTACAAATATTCTCTGTTATATTTTCGTAATATAACATTTGTATTTGACTATAAAACATATTCTATGCGGTTAAACGCAATTCGTTCCATATCAATGACCTTAACATAGAAGATTAGTGTGTTTTAACAATTGCGTAAGGGTATAAAATATACAATCTATGTATAAACCGTACATAATTGGTATTACTTTAGTGTTTACGAATATAACTGACATATTTGTAACATTAGGTATATTATGAGTTTATCACCATTATGAGTTTATTTGTTTAATCATAAATAATTATAATTAGATACATTAACCACTCACTTAATAGAAAGACATTGTCTATAAATATATGTATACAACCATAGCGTATCTTAGTATTATGGTAATGTAGATAATGGATGTATCATTGGTTTATACAATTTGTATAAATATGGATTTAAAATGTGGCACTATATTATATAATGACACGTGTCAATTAAAGATATATCCCTTTGATAAAAGTGAGATATAAACAAATATATAGCTCAAACGTCAACGTTTAGTATATAGTTATTATAACGGTTAATTGTAGGTTATATCTCGGAACTATGTTTAGAGCATATATGGGTTAAGCCCATATAATGCTTATTTGACGAACTAGGGATATTGATTATAACGTGGGAGCTTCTACGGTACGTACGAAAAAAGAGAGTGTTTTGGTACATCACTTTTTAAACCAATCAAATAAAAGAGAGTTCCACGTCAAATCAACACCTAATTTTAGTATTAACACGTCCAAACACACTGTAATTTCAATATTTGCAATTGCAAACAATCCCTCATCCATTTATCGTTAAAGTCCGTAGAGGGTAGACCAAACGGCTGCCGTTACAGACCGCAGAAAGCAAAAAACAACTCGCCGAAATAAGGGAGCGGCTGCGCAAGGAATAAGAACTCGCCGAATTAAGGAGGAAGAAGAACCTGCGGCGCAAATAACCTGTGGTGCCCAATTATGGAAGACGCTGCGCCGCCCGACGAAGAACCATCAACTCCAAAAGAAATTACATACTCCGGTGAGAACGCAGAGGCAAGACACAAACTCAAAATCCTTATTTCTTAGATTATACCTTGTTTTGATGTTCATATCTTGATTATGATTGGATTTAGTTGAGTAATCAATTAACTTTTTGTTCTTTCTACATTGGCTCAAGGGCTAACTTTGAATTTAGTTATACTAGTGTTGCATCGTAGAAAATTTGTTAGTGTATACTATAGTCCAGGCTTTTGAGAATTGCCTTTATTGATACTGGTTTCAGTATTTCACTGAATTATAGTTGTATTTCTTGCATTAATCCGAGTTGTAGACGCGAAGCATTTACATTAAGACTGGAAGTAGCACAAAGTTGAAAGTAAAAACCTTCTTAAATTTGCCTCATTTTAATTCAAAAGTGAGAATGATAAGAAACCTGGATTAGCTTTGAAAACAGTAATAAAGATACGTGAAAGGTAAGAGTATCATTTCTCTCCTTATTCTTTTTTTTAGCTTTGAAATCCACCATCTTTTAGCTTTCCATTTATACTATCTTTGATATTGAGCCTTCAAATCTAGCACTTCTAGCTTTGGTCCATATCATTAGAAAACATACGTGACACGATTCCTCCCAGATTTGGCATTTTTCAAAATTCTCAGCTTCTTCTTCTTCAAGATAAGTTTATCCATTCAAGTTGAACTCCCAGATTTGGCATTTTTCACACCATTTAGTGCTTATGCTTCTATTTATGTTGTTTAATTTCTGTGTTGTTAGTTTTTGTGTTGTTTATGTATCCAATCCTTAATTCTAATTGTTTAATTTCTATGTATGAAGCTTATGTACGTGTTTATATTAACACTTTTTTTTTATTAAAATGTATCATCTGCTTCTTTATTTTCTTTTTATGTAGCCACTTGAAATGGCCTATTTATTATGTTTATGCACACTGCCTCCACTGTCTTCCTTTTGTGTTTTGAATGGCCTTATAAGCTGCCAACATGGGAGTATGAGTAGAAGAAGAACTTGGGCATGTTAAGAATTAATTTCCTTGGTGATTGGATCTTTTAGAATTCAATTACAATTTACAAATAGCATCTTCCCTCTCATGAAACTACAAATGTAAGGTTGAACTTTGTTTATATATTGAGTCAAACTCTAACTTTCTTAATTTCAGATAAGTATTTTCATTACTAATTTCACTAAATCACTTTGACTTGAATGCGTTAGAGGAACTCTACTTGAGTGGTAATACTATGTATTTAGAATTAAGACTAATATAAATAAGTAAAATAAAACAGTGAAATCTCATTTGTACATCTGATAATAGCCAAGGGATAAAACTAGATTTGTTCTTTATTAAAAGTAAAACTTAGCGAAAACCAAGTTAAAAATAATTGGTGATTGATTGGCATCAAATATTATTGAGATTAGAGCCAGTTAGCTAGTGAAAAGGACACATAAATCCTTTAGAAAGGTACTGTGATTCCTCCTGGTGGATGATTAAATTCAAATCCTTCTAGGCTTGACTTGACAATTCATGGAATGAAGGGTCTCTCAAGTCTGATGTTGTAAAGACAAAGTGCTTCATTTTTCTTTTTTCAAGTGAAGTACAAAGTGACTTAGGAACCTCAGTTTCTCTATGTGTTCATGAAGAACACCTTCTCAGGTCTTGCTTAACACAGAAAATATACCCCATCCCGATTTCAGATTCAAATGATAATTCTTTTTAAAGTAGATGCAGTGTTAAACAAATCTTATGAATAGGAGATTATATCTTATGCAGAAGAATAAAGAATTACATATCTTATGACTGAGTCAGTGTAATGAAGAATGTTCAATAGATAACAGTGTAGTGTAATTTTAAGATCAGTTTCTAGAAAATATCCATATAATGTAGTTGATCACGCACAGTCATGACTTAAAAGCCGTATCGGTTTTTTGGTTCAGACACCGGGTCTCAAAAAAAATACTTCCATCATCCCATCAAAAGAGGCATGTTTGAAAACTTGAGAAATAGCAGTTTTGGTAGAAGATGTGATGCGCGGGTTTTGATATTTTCCATCTTTTTATCACTTTTTAGAATTCAATTACTTCAAATATTTACTAATTAAAATATACTTTAATATGTTCTTATTTTTTACAGATGAATATATGTGGCAGTTCATCATATGATAATTCAGATGTGGAAGGCGGTTCTCTTTCAAGTGGTGAAAGTGAAAATTCTGGTGATGGACATGGCGCCGACATGGATCTTGAAGATGGTGAGTTTAAAAGGATCTCAGATTTGACGCCAGATGAGATACGTGCACTACATTTTGGAAGTGAAGATGAAGCCTATGAGTTTTACACGAAGTATGCTAAATGTCATGGTTTTGTGGTAAGGAAACACAGTGTACGTCGTAACAAAAGTAACAAATTGGTTACACGTCACTTTGTATGCAATAGACAAGGATTAAGAAACCCAAAACATCTGACAAGGTCTGACAGGAAAAGAGGTCATAGACCGTTAACCCGAACTAATTGTGATGCAAAGTTTCATATACGTTATAAGGCAAAAGATTCATGTTGGATAGTGACATGTTTTCAAGAGACTCATAACCATGAATTGGCCCCTTCAAAATATGTGCATTTATTATCTGCTTACCGTGGAATGACTGATGCAGATAAAGCACAGGTTGATAGCCTCCATTCACAGGGAATTAGAACTTGTCATATCATGGGATACATGGTGGCACAAAAAGGTGGATACAATAGTGTTGGCTTTACAAAAAAAGACCTTTACAACTATTTTGATAGCAAAATGCATGGTGATATTAAAGATGGAGATGTTATTGCCGCATTAAGCTATCTCCATGGAAAAGCTGATAACGATCCCATGTTATATGCCAAATTCTCTACTACTGATGATGGGAGACTTCGACAGATTTTTTGGGCAGATGGTAAGAGCAGATCTGATTTTGCATTCTTTGGGGATGTGCTTGCTTTTGACACAACGTACAAGAAGAACAAGTACAATTATCCTCTTGTTATTTTATCAGGATGCAATCACCATTTACAGACTACTATATTCGGTTGTGCTTTGGTTTCAGATGAAACAACTGAAACTTACAAGTGGGTGCTAGAATCTTTTCTGGAAGCTATGGGCAATAAGCATCCCAACGCAGTAGTGACAGATAGTGATGGAGCTATGAGGGAGGCTATAAAACAGGTATTTCCGGCTGCACTTCATAGACTATGTGCGTGGCATCTGCATAAGAATGCATGTGAAAATGTAAAGATCCCTCTTTTTCTGAAGGATTCCAAGACTGTTATGTATGCCAATTTTACACGTGATAAATTTGAGGCGTTTTGGAAAGATATGGTTGCGCAGCATGATCTTGAGGGGAACAGTTGGGTTCTCAAAACCTACAACAATAGGTACTTCCACCAACAATAGGTACTTATATAGATATCTAAGTGGATATCTATTATTAATTCCAACAATCAGTTTAGGGTTTTTCCACCAATGGTAGATATTTAGGCTGTTCAAGGGCTTATATTGATGAGAATAAGCCCTATATGTACTTTTAACTTATCAATATTACCCGAACTCTTTACCTTTTACACATTAAATTGATATGAGCAATAAGTCATGAGGTATTTGTTAGCCTAAGATTAATGTCTTTATAGGACCCGTATTATATCTCTTTGGTTCCCGAACGCTAGAGTACGGTATTCATCTTCTTCCCAAAGATCATTCTTGTGACCTTATTATAAACCGATACTTCTCGTTCAGGGCCTAGTTTGTTTTACAAAATAGACAATCATCCCTTGATATTTGGAAACCGGTTCCAGGGCCTAGTTTGTTTTACAAAATAGGCAATCATCCCTTGATATTTCGAAATTTTTACTATATGAAGAGTAATAAGTTTTAAGCATTTTTAGGATGATTTCATAGATTATGTGAAATATATCTTTCAGGGATGTAGAGAAACCACACGTGATACTAGCAGAGTGCAAACTATTTAGGGCGCTATTATACTTTCGTTAAAGGAAGCTTAGTATTATCCGAACGATTTTGTTGTCTCTTTTGAAAACTTATCTTGTTCATCTACTGGTTAGCATTACTTAATATATTGCGTAAATAGCTGATGTTGTTACCGTATTACTAATGTATATAAACTATACAAATACTATTTAGATATTTGCTAAAATACCTATACGCTTACAATAAAATAACGTATCTTGAATTATACATAGAGCACTTTAGGTCAACTCATTTACTGTTCCAACTTCATATGAATATCTGATAAAAGTGCAATTAATACTTATAAATTTCTTAAGTATTCTAGGTGCATTAAGCGTATTACAAAACTTAATGCATTGTAAATGAAGTTGGAACAATAGCTTTAGAATTCAAAATTGTCTTTCCAAAGAGATATAATACGCTTTAAACGGAAGAACAGAGCAAGATATGATTCCAAAGAGAAAGATTAAGTTTCGAATATTAGATTACCTGTTATAGTAAGCCTCTATGGTTTAATTACATTTGGTTTAGCGTTTTAATGGTTTTATAATTTTAGGAGCAAAATATCTCGCTTAATTCGATAGAGCACTCAGAATTCCGGAGCTCTTAGAATCGGTGACTTCATAAGATATTTAAAACACCATAAGAGCACTTTATACACTATTTATTTATTTAAGCGTTGGATCGTAAACATTCTTCTGAAGTATACAACGTAATTACAGCGCACATCTTTAGAATTACCTTTAGACAACATTTGATCTTAGGCAAAACAATACCGTTTTGTCTTTTATGGTAAATTCTCTTATAATAAAACGTACTTTAATATCTAATAATCAAGCTTACGATTAAACACACAAATACTAAACGGAATCCGAAATAATGTATATTTGTAACCTGAGTTTAAAAGATAAGAGTACAATGCATTTGGATTATATAGGATGTAAAGATATGACCGCAATAGAAAAATTGACAAAGACGAGATAGAAACTCAGGTATGTTAATAATATCCTGTTGTGTGTTCTTCCGTTTTAAACTAATGTTATCAGCAAGAATTGTTCAAACGGATACTAAACAAGTTGAGTATCCCCGAAATCTAGAATTCCCATACGTTTTAGGAATACGAGATTATTCGACAAATACCTGATATCAACCTTTATAATCTCAATGTTTCATCAACTTCATCATATCTTGCTGTGTGTTCTTCCGTCAAAAAATACATAGCCATCAACATTTAGTATTTATATATCCCATTTAGAACTCATTTCATATATGTGATGAGTATATCTTGAGATACCCGGAGTTATACTCGTAAACGTTTTACAAGTGATATATCGGTTGTATAAGATATGAGTTACAAAATAGAGCATATCTTAAAATTTACATATAGTTTTCTTTTGCTATATGATTGTTTAGGCTCTTAGGGAATGATCTACGGTTGTATAGTGTTGAAGCATTTGTCCCACACCGGAAAGCTATAAAACAATTACACACTATATAAAGCTTTGGGCTACTCCTCCTAATAGGTTGACCTTTTAGGATGGAACCCCGGGTCTTGACATGGTATCAGAGCCAATTCCGGTTGTGGTTTGACGGCTTGTTTAGCACCCATGATTAAGGGTAGCTTATTAAGGGTTTGTTTGGCCCGTTTATACACCCCAATATTGTCCAGCCCGGTTCGGGCTGAGGGGGCGTGTTGAAGCATTCGTCTCACACCGGAAAACTATAAAACAATTACACACTATATAAGGCTTTGGGCTACTCCTCCTAATAGGTTGACCTTTTAGGATGGAACCCAGGGTCTTAACATATAGACCGTAGAAAACTTGACCTAAATAAGTTTACAAAATAGGTCGATAAGATATTTTAGCACGGACTATACTTAGACCTATTACGGGTATCCGATTCCTTGATATGCACTAACTCATATCTAAACCTATCTTTATCTGCTATTTCCAACCTCATTCGGTTATCAAGGGATTGACGTTTTCTATCTCGTTATAAAGATCTTATCCAGATATATAACTTATCTTCAGGTGCCGATTTCGAAAACGTCAAAAAGTGTACTCATGTAGTATACCACTGAGCAAACATTTAACGTTCTCATACGTCTTAACCATAGAGATCAGGCTAAAACGTAATTATTTCAGATAAACACAATAGGACATTAATCTAATATTCGTGGCGATCAATATAGAGTGTAAATTAATGGAAGCTCTAACCATTACGGATAGTATGGCTATACAAATAATCTCTAACATAAACATTTTCGTCCCAAATTGGATTCATGAATTAGGTGTACTAAATTTAAAACTATATAGCGCATTGGTTAGAGCTTTAACGAGTAGTTGAAGAACAAAATAAAACATATCCATTTACTTACACATTTTATCTTTGTTTCAAGAAGTTATATCTATTTTGTCACAATCGATAATTATTCATGAGTGGATATAGTGCAATCTATCACTCTAATATTTACAAACGTATGTTTATAACACACACCCTAACAGGAAAGGGAACTGTCTATAGCGTTACAGATTTGAAAAAAAAATAAAGCTAAACATAATATTGTGGCTTTCAAAACCCATTATCTTTCGGTATATATGCGTCAGTACAACAGGAGAGCTACTTTAGCCTATAGATTCAAATTATCTATACAGAAGATAAACCAATAGGGATTATTGTGCATTTCTAACGTAGAGAATCTTGTTTTAATGTCAACTGCCCCAAGTGCACAATATATTTCGAATCGTTAATCTTACCAGACAAAATTAACGATTTCTTAAGAGCCATTAAGTGTATATGCCCTATTTGATGCCAATCCCTACTTTGACGATATTAAATACTGTCTTTTTGATATATATCCACGGCATAGATTTGGGCATAGAAGTAAGTGATATGAAGTTGGAACAATCCCAGCCTGAGCTTCTACTGGATATCATTATATTTCCGATCATATCAATGTCATAATTTTTCGATTCCCATAATTCAAAACCGGACATATAGAAAGCTATATCACGGTTTATGTAGTTTTAACGACAGCGTCAAACAGTGATCTATACGTATTTCATCATTGTAAATGAGTAGATATTTGTTTATAGACAATATTGTACCGAAATAAGTTAAAACTTCTAAAACGAGGGCCAAAATAGGGCTGTTGGACAGATTGGTAAAAAAAATACGATTTGGGACAAATTGGTAAAAAAAAAGAAGCCCTAATGACAAATTGGTCAATTTTTTTAGAATCGTAAACTTTTGATCCCCAACTTTAGAACTTCCCACATTTCATATTATAAGTATTGTGAAATTGACATTTGCAGTCATTTTACTTTGATTTTGTCATCAAAAGTGGAGGTCTAAAAATGTCAACGACCGTGTTTGATAATAGCGGTTATTTGTTAGCTCATAGCCGGTTGTATCAGCAATTTCATATTAGCGGATTAAGTTAGCCGGTTAGCTTTTATAACTAACCGCTTTCTTTAGTGTTTGAAATAAAATGTTAGTAACTTAACTATTTGCGATTAAATGTTAAGATGTAAAATAATCATTCAAAATATGAAATTAAAAGTATATATATTTATCTTAACTTTATTTCTTTTATTTTTATTAAGTCTTTCAAAAGGTTTTAAAAATTATATTTACATTTATTTTAAAAAACAATGGAGTAGATTTAGAAAAAACTAATAAATAGTCGCATGGAGTAGATTTTTTAATGGAGTAGATTTAAATAAACTAATAAATAGTCATATTTAAACTACTAATACTTAAAATATATGAATTTACGTGTTGTACTCCGCATCAATGTACATATCTTAAAAATGATAGTGTTATTAATTATTTAAAATAAACGTAAACATATTTTTTAAAACTTTTTCCAAGACTTATTAAAAATACAAAGAAATAAAATTAATTTAAATATATAAACTTTTAAATATAAATTTTAACGGTCATGTTACGTTTGAAAAGCTAATTGCAAATTTTATCTTACTTACTAACGGAGTCCACTTATATGAATTTGCTGATACAAGCTAGCCGCTATGAGCTAACAAACAACTGCTATTATCAAACACGGTCGTTAACATTTTTCAACCTCAACTTTTAATGAAAAAATCAAAGTAAAAAGATCGCAAATGACAATTTCACAATACTTATAATATGAAATGTCGGGAATTCTAAAGTCGGGGATCAAAAGATTATCACCCTAAAAAAATTGACCAATTTGTCTCTAGGGCTTCTTTTTTTTTACTAATTTGTCTCAACTCGTTTTTTTTACTAATATGTCCAACAACCCTCTTTTTTTTTAACCAATTTGCACAATGATGATACCTGTTCTGTGCTAGAATATTACATACGTAATCATATGTGCCTAGGGGTAGCTCACATGGTTTAATCCCCTTATATACTAATCAAATGTACGAATATTAATTACTCGTACATTATCACTTATCAATGTTCTGATTTGACATCAGATCTTTACTGAATATAATTTTCAATATAGCGTATCTCTGTATAATGTTTTATATAGGACTATAAAAAGTATGAAACTCTTCCACATATCTCTATGCATTGGAACAATAGCTTTAGAATCATCGTATCCAAACGCTAAAAATGAAGTTTGAA